GGGGTATGGATGAATAGATTGACCTAGGTGAGTCTAGTGGGTTAGGTGTGGTGCACACTTGTCAAATCTAGCACTAGGTAGCTCCTAAATAGCCCTTAGATCAATTGAAGCAAACTTCATTCATATATGATTGCAAGTTGGAAGTGAATGGAGGGTCAAATGTTGACCAGACGCTGGTTTCGGTGTGACCGGACGCTGGCACGGAGTTCGGTTAGTTCATTTGATTAAGGTAAAATCGTCTGGTGCGACCGGACGCTGAGTTGAAAAGCGAACGGACGCTGGGTGCCAGCGTCCGGTCAACTCCAGTAAGGTTCCAGAGAGCGGTTTTTATGATTGGACGCGTCCGGTCAGTGCTGACCGGACGTTGCTCAGCGTCTGGTCACCACTTAACTGCTCGGTTTCGGGGAAAACTGACCGGAGCGTCCGATCACCCCGCAGAGGCACATAACGGTTCGTTTTGAACGTGGGTGTATAAATACTTCCTCCATTCGTGTGAGAGGGTACTTTTGCTCATTCCAACAGCTGAGAAACACCTTTGAGAGTGCCAAGAAGAGCAAGGTCCTAGTGAGGTGATTGAGATTTGAGAATCCAAGAGAGAGGCTTCATTAGTGAAAGCAAGAGTAGCAAAGTGTGCATCCACCCTTCTCATTAGGCTTGTCGTGGTCAAGTGAGAGTTCGTGCTTGTTACTCTTGATGATCGCCATCACCTAGACGGCTTGGTGGTGATTGGGAGCTTGGTGATCATCCGGCGAAGCTTGTGGATGACCCAACTCAAGTTGTGAGCGATTATGGGTGATTCACCGCGACAGAGTGTCGAAGAATCAACCCGTAGAGAGCACTTGATCCTTGCGCGGATCAAGGGGGAGCTACACCCTTGCGCGGGTGCTCCAACGAAGACTAGTGGGGAGTTGCGACTCTCCGATACCTCGGTAAAACATCGCCGCGTTCCTCCTTCTCTCTTTACTTTGAGCATTTACTTTGAGCAATTCAATTCTTGTCATTACATTCATAGAATTGCCATGTTAGAGTAGGATTGGAACATAGGTTGCTAAACTTTTATGCGGTAGAACAATAGAAACACTTTCTAAGCACAAGAGGTGAAGTGGGCTAACCGTAGGGTTTAATTATTGCAAAGAATTTTAGAATTAGTCTAATTCACCCCCACCCTCTTGGACATCTTGATCCTTTCAAAGTGGATCAGCTGCCTCCTGCTTGCTACCAGTAAGCTACACTGCAGATTACAAATACTCCAACACGATCTTGGGTTAAATTAGTACAGTGTACATGACACAATGAGATATAACTGCAAATAGTTGGGTGGAGGTAATAACTGAGTATATTCCTAATAGAAGCAAATAGAAAGAATGGTAACTGAAAGGAGGAAGCCAACAACCAAGATCAGTTATATGCCTCACTAATTAAAAGTACAATGAACTTTAAAAATAATGTAACATATTAAGCATGTTTGACGTAATTGAAGATTGATGTTGCTCCTTGAGGAAAAATAATTTGTTTCCTGATAATTTGGCATTATCTAAAAGCACACTTCAGCATTCCGTTGTAGTCAGTGTGGACCTATTTTTCTAGAGATATATGCATGCATATATGAGCACCTTTTCTGGAAAAAAAAAATCAGTGATAAGCTATTCATTATCTGACAACTCAATGTGAGTACTGATGGGAAAGGTTAAACTGCTATTCAGTCTAACCAAGCTTAATTAACAGAAGGATTGCTTTTGGGAAATTTCAATTTAGTTAGTAGAATTACTAAAACAGTCGCGGAATAGATCCCAATGAAAAAATAGCAGCAGCATTTAGCTAAAGCATAGGTAGTAGTGGTTAGCAGGGGCTATAACTAAGTATAGATGCATCATGTTTGAGTGCCTATTTTCTGAAATTACAACTCTGGTTCAACGGTCCTACACTGTTCCTAATCTGGACACCTAAATTTTTGTCTCATTACCTGCAGCAGAGATCTGCAAGGGACACCTGACAACAGAATGGCCAGCTTCACTTTCTAAGCCACTGATCATGCACATATAATCACTAGGTAAATGCCCGTGCATTGCATCGGGTGAGAAAAAATTATCACGAGATAATATACAGTGCCATCAACATCCAATTGCCTATGGATCAATTATAGATGTCACCATCTTTTGCAGGCACCTCTTTTACCTATCCTTCCATGCTATGAAGCTTCACATGAATAGAACTTCGCCTTTAATTTAAGGAACAATGTATCAATGTCTAACAATGAGTATTGTTTGAATAGATTGTATAAGGTGCTCATCAACTAGCTCTTCCTGTGGCTCGAAAATTTTCCTGCCCTTCCGATCGGATTTATCAAAAATAGTTCTTCATATGCTATCTCCCCTAATATTTTAGAACTCAGGCTTGACATCAATCTTAGAAGATTCATCGGGAGACCAGAAAATATGCAGTTGACGTCCCACCAATTCTTCCAAGTGGGAGCAGAGATATCAGAACAAACACTATAGCCCTGTTTGGTATAATGCCAAAAAAAAAAGATCTGCGCAAGCAATGCAGATGAAAACAAAACTACAGTACACTGACACCAGTCTATTAAAATGTACATTTTGAATACACTCGCCGAATTGGCACATACATCCTCATTCCTGGTAAGGGCCTCTTTGGCACGGCTTATGCCGGCTTCGGTTTTATCTATTTTGCGCAAATCGAGGCACTGTAGCGTGAAGCCATTTTGTAAGACAGGGTTAAAATAAACTAGAAGCCAGCTTTGACTTCACCTGTGAAGCCGTTTTGGATGAGCCATGCCAAAGGGGGCTTAACTCTCAGCTCCAGAATGTTGCTTATCAGCAGCATTGTATTTGTTCAGCCTGTCCATGTATGAAGACACCTTTTGATCTGCTCTCCCCGTCTTGACTCATCTTCCAAGTCTATCCTCACTTGCACTGTCTCTTGTCAGTGCTAGAATATTTTGCAGGCACACCGCACACTCTTACATGGACTTGTGGTAGGGAAGAGAGTGAGCTTTTCTTGACTGGACTGCAGAGACATTCCAGAATATAAGACAGAGGGAACTGTAAAATCTCCATCATTAGCCAATTTCTTCCCCGAAGAATTTTGTAGGCACGCTCTTACATGGACTTGTTGCCAATCCTACTATAGAAGCATTTGAATCTGACAACCTCATACATAGGAAAAGCCATGTCAAATACTTGGAATCATATTAAAGGAAGTAATGCAATTGGAAATAATAACCTTTCAACATTATAGATAGGCTTAATTGTGGCATGCTTTATTAACCCCAATTAATAGTACATGTCAGTGAGGGCCGTGGAAACAATTACATTATTCTGAAATCTAATCCTATAAACCATGTAATGGATTGAGTGCTCAGGCCCACTAAGCCAAAGCACGAACTTTATGTTAGCACAAATAACACCATTTTGCATAGACGCTGCAAAGAGTCTGACAACTTCTAGTATTATGAGGCTCCTTGAATAGCTTGATTGCGCATTGCAAGGTTCCAGTCTCCATGTTGACAATGCTCTCAAGAGCTAAACAGCATCAAATACTGTCTATTTAATAGATTGCCAGCATCTAAATGTATCGTGACATCAGTTGGTTGATTAATCATTTAAAAGCACCATTGCAATTCCAGGTTTAAAAAGAAGTAGCGTCTAATAATGTGTATTGACTGCCACCCAAAGGCAATAGCTATTCCACTCTAATAATGTGTCGGTAGAATAGAGATGTCAACAAATGACATAGCAATGGTTTGATGAGATACATCACATTGCTCAGTTTCATGTATCATGGAAAACTTTCATTGATGAGCATGTTTTTTACTCTGTTCTTCATGCAGCCCTCTTTCAGATAATCAAGACCGCATCAAGCACTGGTCTACTATGAGGATAGAGAAACTGACAGCCAAGGAAAGATCTGTCTTCCCATAATGCCAGGCACACCAAGCCAAAGGAATCAGGAATCTGAAACGCACACTTTTAATCATGGCTCTGCTTCACCTGCAGTGACCAGACCATCTGCTCTTGGTCTGCAAAATGCATCACCACAACAACAATAATTCGATTTCATGGCTTCAAATATCATGAGCTGAGGAAAATATGAAAGCAAAATATTTAGTGAGGTAGCTGATTATCACAGGATACTGCTACCATCGGTGTGTGTTACCAGAATATAATTTTGCAAGCTAACAAACATCCAGCATTTAGGATAAAACAATTATGTACCATCAAATTTATAAAAAGGAAAGCCTCACTTCACATCAAACTTACCAGTATAGCATTTTTAAACCAATACTGCCAACTTGCTCGAAATACAGGGTCAGCACAGAATAAATACAGAGAATAAGCCAAGTGGTAATAAATTTTCACATGCTAAAATGTTCTCTTTGTTAAATAAACAGCGAAATTGTCTGGTGAGGTGCTTGTGTTCTCACCTAGGTCACACCTCTTCACCAGAAATGAAATAGTAGCGTCCAATACCACCAAATTGTCTGCCAAGAAATGTTGCACAATTTCAGGTCACGCAATATAAATTGCAATTATAAATCAAGGTCTTCCATATATCAACAACTCATCTGCATTTGGACCAAACTATTTTTCGCAATGCATAATCTGAGAGACTAATTCTGCAGACAGAGAACAAAGGAAGCGTAGCAGCCCGACCACCATTTTTGCACTTCAGGAACACAAATCTACTCTTGTAACAACAACCTATAGACTGTAGATAGAGTTTGACTGTTTTTTTTATCTCGTGTAATCCATGAATTAATTAGAATCAAAGTTCTAGCTATTAACCGAGTTACATGTCCCAAACAAACTGAATGCATCTACTCCGAATTGCAGTTTACGAACTGTTTCCAAAAGATTGTTGTGCAAAACAGATGCCCAAACGAAACATGTTACAAGCTAATTGATTTTGTGATTTACTGGAAAAACAAATCATGACTCCTAGAGCAAACCATAGAGTGCAACCTCTTGATGTCTTGTCTCCTAGAGTCCGAGGTCATGACGAGAATGATGCTGCAGCCCCTTCTTTGCCACTGCCTCTTTCCGTGCTGCCACTGCCATATAACCGAGCCACGGATCCTGAATTGCAGCCTGCTGTGGGAACCAGTGGAGGTGCCGTCGACGTGGAGGTTCTAGGAAAGCAACAATGGGGCAACACCTGCAACAATGGGGCAAGATAATGAATCAGCTGTAGAGTGAATAGATCGGCAATGGTGTAGTCCGGCGACTCGATGTCATTAGCTGGCCACGTACCCCAAACCACCAGTGAGTTTTCTAGCGAATCGACGGCATTACCTTGGTCTCCTCCCACGGTGCGGTATACTGAGGTACCAGATCTGCCGATGGGGCCTATTGGATGAGCGGACGTGTGAGGTGGGAGTCATGGATCGGAGTGGGAGCGGGGTAGCAGGGGAGCTATGGTGCCGTTGAGGCCTACCGCGGCGGACGTCGAGACGTGGCGGCGGTAGGGGGCGGGCGAGCATCAGGAGGGCGGCGACGACGGGGAAGCGGAGGAAGATGAGGCAAAGCTGGCGGTCCTCGGGCTGGGAGAGGATGCGAGTCAGAGTTTGCAGCGTGGAAGAGCTAGAGAAGGGGATCGTCGCGTGAGCCGCCATGGCTGTCTCCTAGCCGCTGCATCGACGGCGGTGAGAGTGCGGGAGGGGATCAGGGGACGGACAGGAGAGGGAGGCGAGGCCTGATGTGCCGTGAGGGGCGCTATCAGCACTGGGGGCCCACCTGTCGGCGTAGTAAAAAACCACGGAGGGGCATGGAGTCGCGAATGGCTTCACCATGTCAGGGTAGACGGGTCCGTTCGAGGTTTTTTAGTTGTACAGATTGAGAAAGTGTCTAGCCTTTTTTTTTCTCCCGAACGACGCAAGAGACCTGCGTGTCATTTCATTAAGAAGAAGAAAAAAGGGGCTACAAGGATGACGTCAAAGACCAATCCTGAATCCCCTACCAGAAAGTTACAAAGGGAGAGTCAAGAGACCAATCCCACACAGCACCAAAACTATAAAAGAAAAAACGAGTAAACCAACAAACACACACAATCCAACTCAGCTCAACAAAAGAGAAGTGTCTAGCCTTATTATTATTATTATTTGTTTTGGCAGTAAGGTTGACACATGTCACATTTAGGAAATATAACTTGACTGGGCCAACTGCCATCGATGGTGTCTTTTCTGCTTAAAGTTGTTTTTCAAAGTCCAAATAGGATTCAAGAAATTATCCTTGAATAATCCAAGCAGGTCACTAATGTTGCTAATCAGTCTGAGTTTAACATTTAGGACAAATATATAGCATGTCATCTGCTACTGCACACTAAATCTACAAGAAATGCAGGGGAAAAAATGAACTGAGTTGGTGGCCAATGCAACATGAAACTCAAAGCAATTGAGTATTCTAAAAATCTCTACTACTGTTGAAACCAGGAGGTTATAGCATGTCAATATCAGACTCCTAAGCATTATTTTTGTCTACTCAGAGAACTGATCCAGATTAAGGAAACAAGCAACTAACTCTGCCAGCACAAAGGCACATGGTAACCTGCTGCTCTGACCCTATACATAACTAAAAAAATATACTGGCTCAAGGATCAAAGAAAATTAAGCTCTTGAACAAGTTGTAATATCACAGTTTGGCAACTTAGCAAATAAATTGGCCAATATAAAAAACCTTGCGATAATCAGGGTGCAGATTTATTACCAGAAAATCACCAAAATAGCTTGAGTTCTGAGTTTCAGGTTGATACAGTCAGAGAAGCACCAAAGTAACTCTGCATGAGATAAGGAGATTGATAGTTCGTGTGACATAATCGGTGTGAGATCTGAATGGCATATTAGATTATTATAAACAACCGGAGCCGCTCATCTAGTTTAGAAAACAACCTTCTAGCATTCTTTGAAAATACACAATACAGAATCTCATACAGGAAGTGAGTTCATGCAGTATAAAAATTGCATATCCAAATGTGAATAGAACTACCATTCATTCAGTAACATCTAGCAGCAAGGAAAATCTAACTGATAGACAATAAGATATCGGCACAAATTAAAGGCACATCGATCATACGTTATGAGTTACAATATTTAGAGAATACTCATAAAGGTACACGTAACAGCACAAGACATGTGATCAGTCAATACATAAGATGACTTGTACAAAAATCTGTGTTGTTAGAGAATAAACATCCATACAAAGATTTGATACGAGAGGCCTAAAGTGACATGCCCAATATCTAACCACGTCTCAATGTTCAGTTAACTATCTATGCATTTCCTAACCAGTGTAACTATTTGTGCTCAGTGAACTCTATGCCTCAATGTTCAGTGAAATCCATTAAGAGATCAGCAAAAGATGGCGTACCTCGAGTGCCGTCGCGGAAGCTGTTGGGAGCCCCTAGCGGCAGTCGTACTCAGCGAACCCCAGCGCGTGAGGGTGAGCGCCGAGAGCGATGGTGAGGGCCCTCGCAGCAGTCCTCCTCGCCGAGCCCCAGCAGCGCACGCACGACTGAGAGGGTGAGGACGAGCACGAGGATGGCGAAGTGCGAGGCAGCAACTAGACGACGAGCGCGACTCAGGTGCGCCCGGGTTGCCACCGTCGAGTAGGGTGGGGCCCATGCTGGTGTACCCGCCGCCGTCGCCTCTACAGGAGGAGGAGGAGGTGGTGGCAGAGAGGAGGGCTCGCCGCCACAGGAGGAGGAGGAGGCGACGGAGAGGAGGGCGCCGTTTCTCGGCGTCCGCGTCCTCGTCTGGTGCCCTCGTCAGCGGCGACGCTGGGGGCGCTCAGCGGCGGCGGCGATGGAGGCGTCTGGTGCTTGGTGAGCGTTTAAGCCAGTCGGGTCGCAAAGAAACGGACCTCTCTCTTGTTTGCGGGTAGCCACCCATTTGGATGCTCCGAGGGCCGTGCGAGCCGAGCCGAGCCGAGCTGACAAACAAAAATCTATACTTATTATAAAGGGTAAAATTTTAGGCTTTTTTTTTTCGTCCATCCATTTGTTTGATCCGTCTCTCCCTAACTACTGGACGATGAAGAATTTCTTCTGTTTAACTTATATATATAACATGTGCTCATATGAATTAGAATAGCTTTTGTCCAGCACGATACGAAGTCCAATTTCAAAACGTATTGGGTGATGTGTGACTCAGGACTCATAAGCCGTGCTTACATGTGTCGTCTGCTCTTTTCCAATTCCATCCTAATCCAAATAGTACTATGCTTCCATGACCGTTCAAAAAGACAAGACAAAAATATCAACCTCACCTGACTCGTACACATGAGTTCACAAACAACACGAGTTCAAGTAAAAGGTAAAAAGGTTAAGAAGGAAACTAGGAATCACCAAAGCACCAAATTGAATAGAAAAAATCCCTAATCATATAAAAAAGAGCGCTAAGATTTTCTGCCAATAAATTACCTTTACTCGCAGACCCATAAGTCAAAAAAAAAGAAATAAATAGACACCAGGTATAGATATAGATTTTTCGACACATACGAGACATAACAGAGAGATTCAAAAGTGCCGATAGAGTCCTAGATGAACCGGAGTTCCGGAGCCCCTATTTCATCGGGCAAACAAGTACTTGTCCGGTTAGGAAATTTATAAAAAAAATAATATAATTGAATCTTGCCGTTCGGCTTGGACGAGGAAAAAAATAGATGAGGTAGTATGTATACGCGCGACCATGAGTACATGCTCCCGATTGATACCGCCGTGGAACGTCTCGAAATCCTCCAATTGGCTCCCGGAGACACGTGACGCTTATGGCTTGACCAGCTCATAGCAATTTTCGAGACGAAGAGGACGACAAACACATGTCGTACCTCTAGGGCTCAGTAGCATGTTCGACAGTTCGAATCTTATAAACCTTGGTTATCAAGCAACGAATAATATTTTTCTCTCACACCAAATCAACCAACGATATTTTCATTATAGCTTATAAGTCAATCCAGCCGAAACAAAAAGGTCATCTTAATGAAGGAATTCCACGCAAGCACCTGCGCACCCACATACAGTACGTACTTCTCGCTTACCCACGTCGTCGTGCATTAGCGGAAAGCAAGCTGCTCGGTATAACGTGCCAGTGGACGCTAATACGTACTAAGTACTAATATATGTACAACTTCTTCTTGGCCATCTCTGAGAGGATACGAAGATAACAGGACCAGTCAATGGAGTTCGACCATGGATGTTCGGCTGGTGCAGGTAACGATAGATTTTGAATGGTTCTGGATAATTCAATAGTGTTCTATGAGATAAAATAAGCTGAAACCAGCTGAACCAATCCGAGACCTGAACAGCGAACGCGGTGCCTTCAGGTGGCCACAAAGTGAACACGATGGAAATATCCCATTTATCGAGGGACGGACGATCTGCGCAAGCTTTTTTCATGGGGACGACGTACCTGGCACTAATGGCACTTGCCCCCGTCGGCTATTGCGGGCACTGTGGCTAGCTAAGCGGTGGCAACTAGATTGCTGCGAGCAAGAGCCAAGCTATGGGCATATACATCATGCTATAATACAATCCGCTTTCTAACTGATTCGAGATTGACCATCGTCCAATGAGTCCCAAGAGTTTCGATTGTGCACTACATTGCGTGTCCTTCTTCTAGAACACAAAGCCAATTGAAAAGCATCGGTGGATTCCGTTCGTTGGGAAAATAAACAGGATTTACTGATTGGTTCACAATGACTATAAATTTTATTACAGTGCAAAATAATTAGAAATACAACCAACAATATTACCTAAAAAATCAAGACAAAATAAATGAACTAGGATAGATTATTGGCTCAAAGAGTTGTCATCTCCTTAAAATAGTTCAATTGATCTGCCGTCACCAACACCCGTTGGAACGCACGAACAATTTTGCTAATAGCAAATCAAACCTGAGAAATTGTAGCCCACGGGCTCGGCCAGGCCTTGGGCCATAAATAAAACGATCCCTAAAAGCCCAAATGACCCAAAGCGCTTATATGTTCCGAAACCCTAAATCTGTTTTGGTCTCTCAGAAGCCGCCGCCGCACGCCTCTCCTGCTGCCTCCTCCTCCTCTCTTCTTGACGCCCGGCGGCCGGCGGCCGGCCTACAGCGGCTTACTTAACTTCTCCGTGGGTAAGGCACTTCTTCTTGCGGATCTCCCAATTCGTCCTCACAGTGAAGTGATTCCCCTAATTATATCTCCCAATCTGTCTTAAGGTCGCCATGTCCGCCGCCGCTAATAACTTCGCACCCAAGTGGGTGTTGATGGAGCCCTTCGTCTCCCGCAGGGACTACGATGAGTCCTTCCCGGACGAGAGCAAGCCCCCCATCAAAACATCCGGCACCACCTCGTGGAACGCCCCATTCAGCGTCGCCTTCAAGCTTGCAGAGCCCCCGGCGATCTCCCGCCTGTACGTGTACCTGCCGGGATTTCCTGGGGAACCCAGGAGACAACTGCTTTCAATCCTTTCGACCCACCAACATCTCGCCCTTTTTCGTGTCAGTAAGATCAACGTCCGTGGAGAACTTCCCGTGCAGGACTTGTTCATCTTCAACGCCTACGACCTTTCACTCAATCTACTCCCCCACTGTACCTTGTCCAACTTGGGTGATCATGCCCGCTGCGATGGTCGCGTATCTCGTAGTACTCCTACTTTTCCTCCTCCTGCGCAGCATATGATGTCCGTCGCAATCACGGGCCTATTGTGCCGAGGCAAAGAGTTTGTGGTAGCAGAAGCCAAACTCTTGGTTAGGGGGCCTAGGGACAATGAGGTCTATGCTGACATCTTTTGGCTGCGATCATCATCAGCTGATTATTCTGATTGTAACTGGAGCTGTGCCCGCATACGAATTCTCAGCAGCGACAGCACCGATGATTTCCTCTGGCAGAGCTACACCGTCATCCCTTTTCGCAACTGGCTATGCTGGATCGACTACAACCGTGGCATCCTCTTCTGTGACATGTTCGGTCCCACCCCTACTGTCACCTTGGTCCACCTCCCTCCGGAGGAGGAGTTCGGTTCAACTCATGCTCATCCTCCCAACTTGTCACGTCGCTGGATGTACCGGGGTGTGTCCGCCATCGACGTCGGCAATTGTCTCAAGTTCATCAAAGTCGACCGCCATGATGGCGTTCCCTATGGGCCACTCAAAGACGGTGCTGGCTTCACCATCACATGCCACACCCTCTTGTTAAAGGACAAGGTGTGGGAACAGGACTACTCCGTCACCTCCAATGAGCGTTGGTCTGCCAACCCTCTTGAGGACCTCCCACGCGACATTCTCATGTTTCCTCAAGTGAACATCGACAGGCCACACGTAGCTCACTTCCTTATCATCGAGAAGTCCGTGTACACGTGGAAGAAGATGTGGGTGGTCACCATTGACATGAACACCAAGAAAGTGGAGTCATTTAATCCGTATATCAATGGGATGGAGGCCCGTGGAACTGAGGATGCTGACTTGGCCAAAGAGAAGTCATTTGGTTCCCTACCCTTCCTCCCCTGTGGGTTCTCCGAGTTCCTCCATCTCTCAAGGTACGTATAATATTATTATATAGTATATATTGTTGCTGCTGGTTTTATCTATATCACCTATTTAATAGTATTTGCTAGTTTGGATATATTGTTACTTTACTAGGAGTCGTTTATTGATGCATTGTGCAACTCTTCATCACTTTAGGTCTCGTTTGGAATATGTGATTTTTTTTGCATGAATAATGCATTTTTCTAGTGAAAAAACTAAACCTATCAGATTCCTGCATTCCCAAGGGATCCCATCTCCCTGGCTTTTCACTTACCGGAAGACCAGCAGTATTTTTCTGTAACAAAAAAAAGTAATATTGCCCCTTTTGGAATGCAGGAATTTCATATTAGTCATATATAGGAATCCCGCGTTCCAAAGAGGTCTAAACATTAGCTTTCAAGTTTAAGTGAAATATATTCATTAGGCTTATGAATGATGAGTTGTCATTACCTTCTTCCATATATATGTTGAATATATGTTGAAAATTATTAGTAGCCAAGTATATGTTCTTGGCAATTGTTTCCTGTAAATATGGCACAACTACTTTAATAAGAGTTTTTATTACCTTATTTCATATGTTGGAAATTATTAGTATGGAAGTGAATTCTACTAATTATTATCTGCACTGTCTGTTCCTGGCAATTGTTTCTTGTCAATATAGCACTACTACTTTACAAATCATCTTTACATGGTACCTAGCCTTCTCTTGCTAACTGAAGCAAGTTTAATTTGAACATCATCTATCTAGACCATTTTTGTCATAGTATTTATGTATTGCAGGAAGAGGAAGAATGTGGATTGAGTCACATGTGTTCATGCCCATGCTGCCAACTCATCGTACTTCGTAGACATGTCTTCCTGCCCAACCATTTTGCTTTCTTCTGTTATGTCTGGTGGTTTCACATGAAAGGCTTCTCTTGTGTTTGTCGGACAAAATTGAAGGACCTATTTCATGTTGTGGCATAGGAAGGATCTTAATGACTATTTTTATGTATTGTGTGAACCGCTGATGGCATCTGGTGTCCTATGTGATAAAAGGGTACCACAGAAGCTAAAAGGCAAGTTTTATAGGACGGCGATTAGACCTGCTATGTTGTATGGTGTTGAATGATGGCCTACGAAAAGACGACATGTTCAACAGCTAAGTGTCGCGGAAATGCGTATGTTGCGTTGGATTTGCGGTCATACAAGAAGGGATCGAGTTCGGAACGATGATATACGTGATAGATTAGGGGTAGCACCAATTGAAGAAAAGCTTGTCCAACATCAGTTGAGATGGTTTGGACATGTGTAACGGAGACCTCCAGAGGCACCGGTGCGTAGTGGAATCCTAAGCCAGGATAGTAACGTGAAGAGAGGCAGAGGAAGACCGAAGTTTGACTTGGGTAGAGACAATAAAAGGAGACTTGAAAGGATAAAATATACCCAAAGACTTAGCCTTAGATAGGAGTGCTTGGAAGATAGCTATTCACGTGCCTGAACCTTGATTGCTTCTGCTGGGTTTCAACTCTAGCATACCCCAACTTGTTTGGGACTTAAAGGCTTTGTTGTTGTTGTTGTTGTGTGAACCGCTGATGGTTTGTGGTGTGTTCCGTTGCTTCGTAAAAAATAGTCTGCAGTGTTTTCTTTCCGCTGATGGTTTGTAGTGTGTTCCGTTGGTTCGTCAAAAATAGTCTGCAGTGTTTTCTTTCAAGCAAAATCATTAAATTGTGTCATTGTGTGGAATTGTCACTTAGTCCTTGAACTTGCCTGTGTTATACAAATTTGCATGTTAAATTTGATCTCCAAGTAACAATATGCCAATCGAAAATACACTAGAATACATTACAAAAATTTTGAAGGATTGATTAGTTGTACTTCAGTACACCCAATCCTTACATATTGGGATGGAATAAGGTGAAAGTGATTGCAACTTATTTTTCATCTGCAAGTAATATTTCTATGGATTGGACTCCAATCAAACAAGACCTAAAAGATAAATTGAAGTTAACATCACATTATTTCTATAATTCTATTGGTTGTGCTACCGCACACCATCTAGCCCCTGACTTGTCGCAGTTACTGGAAAAATGAACTCCAGGCTTGTTTGGCTAGCAACTTTAAGCAGCTTGAAAAATGGAACTCCTGGCCTGTTTGGTTAACAACTATAAGAAGCAGCTTGGACCAGGCAGGTTTCTTGGTGTGCCGATTTTAGATGCCTAGGTTCACAAATGACACAGTTCTAAGACATTTACCACAAAGGGCATAACAGAAATTAAATAGATAACCATCACTCCATCTGGACTTCATAACAGGAGGCACCAACCAGCAGTCAGCAGCTAGCCAAAAAAAATTCAAAATAAACATCGGCCACTCTCCGGAACATCTAACACTTGTTGGCCTCACAGTTTAACACTTGTCGAATCGGTGGTTCTAGCGTGCTATACGGTGACCTCCCTTGCGCTTCACCGATAAGTGTGCCGCTACGGTCCCCTTCTCTCCGTGCAGGGGCGAATTTAGCCATGTTTATCAGGTCCGTCGACCGCGATAACATATGCAAATCCTTTAGTAAAACACTGTTATAAATTGAAAAAAAACCCATGTTATGTAATGAAGTTAACCTTGGTGACCCCGATGATGTTTTCGGCTAGATTCGCCCCCTGTCCCCGTGCCATGCTCAGTGGGAAACGGACTCGTCTCCTGTGTCGCCTAAGCAGGGGCATGCACAGGTCACGCCACCACGGGTGGCGCAGACCACCCCCGGTGCTGATGCATCTACGGAGGACGAGGAAGGCTATCCACCAGGCTTCGGTCCGACTGAGCTCACGGCGGATGCTGGCTTGCTCCGTACATCGCCGCGGGACGACCATCCAGCCATGTACAATGACAACTTCATCATGTGCCGCCTCGAGAACTTCACCAAGTGAGTGCTGGGACGGCTACACTACTACATAAATGATTTTGCAAGACACACCCCTAGGATTTTCGGATGCGGGCACAAAGTTCACGCGTCTCCTAAAATATGCAACGATTTTCGGAGGCGGACAACCCATTTTCGGAGGCACTAAAAAATGACCGCCTCAATAAATTCATTAACAGAGGCATGAGGTCTCTTCCGATGGCGGCGGGCTCGCAAGCACCGGCGGTGGCGGTGGCGGCGTGGAACGCGCAGAAGCTAGCGGGCTCCGGAATAGGCTCGCCGGCTAGCTTTTGATTTTTTTTTTATTTATTTACCTATTTTCACATATGGGCACTAGGCCGCCTTCGTAAATGGTTATTAGCACACGCATTTAGTTATAGGCCGAGGCTTTGCCCGCCTTTGAAAATGGTTTTTGTCCACCTGCGAAAATGTAGACAGTAGTAGTGCTGCCTCCCCACTAATTCGTCAGTCTCCCAAGCTGCCGTCACCTGCAAAGGCGGTGCTCCCATTGCGAAGCAAGCGTCTGGCGGCTTAGAGCCTCTCTTAGGTGCCTGTTTTCAAATGAGGTGAGATCCTAATCATGCAGCATTGGGTTTGGCTACGGGTCTATCAACACCAAGCATGTCAGAAAGGAAGGCCTACGAGGAGCTCTACGATACTAGTCCGAATGGTTCCAACGTCGAATAAATGGGAGCGCTTTCCTAGACATTAGAAAAGGGTCGCGCAGGCAGCAACGAAGATGCAAGCATGCCCACTTCTTAGGTTGCATCGCTGCCCATATCTTGTTTGTCTAACATTTGTGTGATATCGAAGCTGAAACCTGAAGGCCTCCTAGGGTGCTCGCTAGAAGCATGTCGTTTTTTATGATCAAACTATTCTACCTTAATTATATTGAGGCGTAAACCTTTTTGCATATTCTAGAAAAAAAGAAACCGATAAACATCGGCCACGCTCCAAAACAATCTCATTTTTTTAGGGCAGACACCTTTGGTTGGGATACAACCAGCATTTAAGTAATTAAGTTCACAGTTTATAACACCTAAAACGCAGAAAGCCTAAGAGGTCTAGTGTCAAGCCACTTGCATTGTTAACCTCCAGACCATCCTTGATTTCAATCGTCGAGGTAACAGACTACGGTCTTCATGTAACAACATAGCTTTCAGTACATTAGGTCGGATCCGAACATCCATGTATAATTCTTCTGACCCCCTAGCGCGTTGTTTAGGCGTGTTGTTTCCAATTCCGTCTTGTCTTAGAAGAAACAACTACTCTACCTATGTTTTTGTAAAGTAATAAATAAATAAAACTATCTATGGTAAATAAAAGCAGCCAGACTCAGAATCCCGGCCCAGCCTAACACGTACAGCTGCTCTCATCATGTAATAAATAAAAGCCCAATAATGGCCCAAAGTGTAGATGTCCTCCTCGATCTTATACAAGTCGATGACCGACGTACCCAGGCATAGGCAGCCACGAAGCCGCCTCATCGTCGCCGGATCGCCCCGCTGCCGCACGCCTCTCCTGCTACCTCCGCCTCCTCTCTTCTTGTCGGCCGGCGTCCTGCCGGCAGCGGCTTACTTCTCCGTGGGTAAGTAAGGTTACAACTCTCTCTCTCGCCCGATTCGTCCTCACGGTGGAGTGATTATTCCCCTAATTATATTTCCCAATGTAATATGTGTCTCAAGGTCGCCATTTCCGCTGCCGCCGCTAATAACTTGCCACCCAAGTGGGTGTTGATGGAGCCCTTCGTCTCCCGCAGGGACTACGATGAGTCCTTCCCGGATGAGAGCAAGGCCCCCATCAGAACGTCCAGCACCACCTCGTGGAACACCCCCTTCAGCGTCGCCTTCAAGCTTGCGGAGCCCCCGGCGATCTCCCGCATGTACGCGTACCGGCCAGGATTTCCTGGGGAACCTGGGAGACAGTTGCTTTCAATCCTTTCGACCCACCACATCTCGCCCTTTTTCGCGTCGGTAAGATCAACGTCAGTGGAGAACTTCCCGTGCAGGACTTGTTCATCTTCAACGCCTCCGACCTTTCACTCAAACTACTCCCCCATTGTACCTTGTCCAACTTGGGTGATCATGCCCACTGCGATGGCAGAGCTACACCATCATCCCTTTCCGCAACTAGTTGTGCTGGATCGACTACAACCGTGGCATCCTCTTCGGTGACATGTTCGATCCCACCCCTACTGTCACCTTGGTCCGCCTCCCTCTGGAGGAGGAGCTCGGTTCAACTCATCCTCCCAACTTGTCGCGTCGCTGGATGTAATGGGGTGTGTCCGCCATCGACACCGGCACAAATTCATCAAAGTCGACCGCCATGATGGCATTCCCTATGGGACACTCAAAGACGGTGCTGGCTTCACCATCACATGCCACACCCTCTTGTTACAGGACAAGGTGTGGGAAAAGGACTACTCAGTCACCTCCAATGAGCTCTGGTCTGCCAGCCCTCTTGAGGACCTCCCACGCGACATTCTCATGTTTCCTCAAGTGAACATCGACAGGCCACACGTAGTGCACTTCCTTATCATCGAGAAGTCCATGTACACGTGGAAGAAGATGTGGGTGGTCACCATTGACATGAGCACCAAGAAAGTGGAGTCATTTAATCCGTATATCAATGGGATGGAGGCCTGTGGAACTGAGGATGCCGACTTGGCCAAAGAGAAGTCATTTGGTTCCCTGCCCTTTCTCCCCTGTGGGTTCTCCAAGTTCCTCCATCTCTCAAGGTACATATAATTATTATATTGCTGCTGGTTTTATCTATATCACCTGCTTAATAGGTATTTGCTAGTTTGGATATATTGTTACTTTATTTACTACTAGGAGTCATTTATTGATGCATTCTGCAACTCTTCATCAGTTTAGGCCTCGTTTGGAATATGTGATTTCTTTTGCATGAATAATGCATTTTTTCTAGTGAAACTAAACCTATCAGATTCCTGCATTCCCAAGGGTCCCATCTCCCTAGCTTTTCACTTACTGGAAGACCGGTATTTTTCTGTAACCAAAAAAAGTAATATTGCCCCTTTTGGAATGCAGGAATTTCATATCAGTCTCATATAGGAATCCCGCGTTCCAAAGAGGTCTAAACATTAGCTTTCAAGTTTAAGTGAAATATATTCATTAGGCTTATGAATAATGAGTTGTCATTACCTTCTTCCATATATATGTTGAAAATTATTAGTATGGAAGCGAAGTATATGTTCTTGGAAATTGTTTCTGTAAATATGGCACAACTACTTTAATAACTACTTTAATAAGAGTTGTTATTACCTTATTTAATATGTTGGAAATTATTGGTATGGAATTGAAGTATACTAATTATTACCTCCAGTCTGTTCTCGGCAATTGTTTCTTTTAAATATAGCACTACTATTTTACAAATCATCTTCATGGTAACTAGCCTTTTCTTGCTAACTGAAGCATGTTTAATCTGAACATCATCCATCTAGATCATTTTTGTCATAGTATTTACGTATTGCAGGAAGAGGAAGAATATGGATTGAGTCAATTATGCACGCGTAACGTATTCCTGCCAATGTTGCCAACTCATCGTACTCCGTAGACATGTCTTTCTACCCAACCATTTTGCTTTCTTCTGTTATGTCTGATGGTTCCACATGAAAGGCTTCTCTTGTGTTTGTCTGGCAAAATTGAAGGACCTATTTCATGTTGTGGCATAAGAAGGATCTTATTGACTAATTTTATGTATTGTCTGAACCGCTAAGGCCTTCCATAATGTTGTGCTTAAGTGGTGCCTACAAAGGAGAGAGAATATTGGAGCACTACTCTTGCCATTGTGGGTAGCAGATCCAACTTTGAGTGACTCCCAAAAAACTAGGAGCGGTGAACGTACGTGCACCGGTTCCAGCTTCTTAGACAACTATAAAGGTACAGTAGCAGATTCCAAGGAGAGGAGAGGAGGCGGATGTGAGGAAGACAATGAATACTTTATAGCACTTGTGGGTCTCACGTAGCTAAATAGCACCGCTTCCCATCTATTTGCACACTGCAGCTTTCTTAATTAGCTGATGCCTGGTTTGTTGTGCATGGACCCATATATTTTCTGACTTCACTACCACATTATGGAGGGCCTAAGATATCATGTTTGTGGTGTGTTTTGTTGGTTCGTCAAAAATAGTCTGCAGTGTTTTCTTTCAAGCAAAATCATCAAATTATGTCATTGTGTGGAGGTGTCACTTGGTCCTTGAACTTGCCTATGTTATACAAGTTTGCATGTTAAATCTGATCTCCAAGTAACAATTACCAATCGAAAGTACACTAGAATACATTACAAAACTTTTGAAGGCTTGATTAGTTCTACTTCAGTACACCCCGATCCTTACATATTGGGATGGAATGAGGTGAAAGTGACTGCAACTAAATTTTCATCTACAAGTAATATTTCTATGAATTGGATTCCAACTCAAACACCTAAAAGATAAATTGAAGTTAACATCACATTATTTCTATATAATTCATTTGGTTGTGCTAGAAAATGTAGCTCCGGGCCTTCGCAGTTACTAGAAAATGTAACTCCAGGCCTGTTTGGTTTGCAAATTTAAAAAGTAGCTTGGACCAGGCAGGCTTCTCAGTTAGATAGGCCTCAATCCAAACAATGTCTCATGCATGTACTTATTAAACTATCAATCCTTGGCCATGATGATACCTAGCAACTAGCACTGGCATGTTGGAAAACTAACAACATCACCACCTTCCATCACTAGTTGTGCCGGATAGACTACTCCCTCGCCTAAAATATAGTGGGATCTTTAATATCACGCTTTAACCGCTAATTTTATTTAAATATATTATTATGGCAACAAAAAATTGATCATTACAAAGTGTTGCTAAATACAAACCTAATGCAACAACTTTTGTAGCACAAACGTTCATATAATTAGACTAAAAGTTGGTTAAAGATAACGAAAATTGTTTTCAAAATACTTGCATACTTAACCGCTCATGTTATATTTTAGGACAAATGTAGTACTACCAAGGCACCCTCTTTGGTGATATGTTCGGAGAGCCCATCTCTACCATATTTTTCGTCCGCTTCCCACTACACGAGCTCCCTTCTACTCACAACCGCATCAGTGCATCTAGTTTGTGTAGTGGTGAGTCCACCATCGACTCGGTCCTTCTGCTCAGGTTTGTCAATGTCACCCGCCATGACGATATTGGCTATGGAGGCACTCAAACCCAATATTGGCTTCACCATCATCTTCAGAGTTAGCTGAGATACAGGAACAATAATAAAGAGACTACAACATAAAGGATACATAAATTCTTCACCATGAGGAGCCCCAAACCCTAGTATTGTCTGTAAAAAAGAAAATGGAAGTATGAGGATGTGTCCCTATGTAACGACCCCCAAATCCATTGTTTTAAAATACTTATTAAAACATTGTTAAACCCCTAGGACATGCTTCCCTCTATGTTAGTTATCCTAGAAATACAGCATAAGGGTTCCAACCTAATAAGCATAACATTGTCGATGTTGTTGTGAGACAGTCCACAACTCACCTGTGTATAGTCCGTGAGCGCATGGTGACACATGTACCAACTAGACCAGCCCAACACTTACACCCTCCCACCAATCCCTTCCTCTTTCTCTCCCTCACTCACCCTTCATTCACCCACAAGAGAGATGTGACGTGAGCAACAGAGAAGAGAGGAAGGGGGATAAGAAGAAGAGAAGGGGAAGAGGAAGGAGAGGACATTGCCAAAGTCAATGTTGCCGAAGTGGCAAGAGGTGCTGCTAGAACGACGTGAAGTGTTGTCGGAGCAGCCAGTGATGCCACTAGAGCAGCAGGATGTGTTGCTAGAGGGAGGTGTCGCTGGAGCAGTAGGGTTCATCCCCGACGAGGGACTTCCTGCCCCCAAGCCACAAGTTTCCATCGGAGGGCAGTGTCCATCACGTGGGAGTAGAGTAGGAGCAGCTGCGGCGATCGCCCGAGCAGCAGAAAAAGGGAGCATGAGCGTTGAGCTTCCAGTCTGAGGGATGTGAGACATCATAATTTAGTTCTTATCTTATATATACTCCATCTGTTCTAAATTATTTATAAAACGTTTTGGATTTTATAGATACATAGCATAGTGTATATCTAAGTCCACAATAACTATGCATCTAAAAAAGCTACAGTTTGGAATGGGGTAGTATGCAGGATCTGAGGGATGCGAACAATGTACCTAGATAACAAAATTTGGAATACACACACAAACATCTTATAAAAATAGTAACGGCTTAACATGTAGCCACTTGGTTCCACTAAACCAGCTCCCAATCAGCCCAACTGATCCAGCCCACCAACCCACTGGCCCACCAATGGCCCACCTTCCCGGGGCCTATGTATGCCCCCAAACCCTAATCCCTAATACCCACCACCCCTGCCGCACCCTCTTCTCCATCCCCACCGGTGGCACCTGGTGGCAGCACGCCGGCACGACCAGGCCCGCGCATGGCGCACACGACGGCCCCTTCACTGACCCGCTCCTTCACCGACCATCGGCACGTAGCCCCACCCCTTCCCCGACTTGTGGCAGCGCGGCCCCGCTCCTTCCTAGGCTGGCGGTGCATCCTGGCCTCTTCCTCGACCCGCCGTGGCACGACCCCGCTCCTTCCGTGGCCGGTGGCGCACGACTTCCTATCCACCAGTGGTTGCGCCCCTTCCCCACCAGTAGCTTCAGTGGCATCGGCCCTTTCCCGCACCAGGACCTAACGACAGTGGCGGCGCTAGTGACAGGCCCCCTTCATGGTGGTTTCCCGATCGAGCGGCGATGGCCTCATATTCCATCACCGCCGACAGCCACGGTGCCCCCATCCCGATCTACGGCTTTGGTGAGCTTGCATCGGTGGCCACGGCATCCACCTCGTGTGTACAGCAAGGGTCGGTGGCACCTCATCATCCCTCGGCTTTGACCTCCCACGGCGACGATGTGGCCCCCCTCATGGTGACGGCGTGGCCACCATGTTAGACCCTATTGGTAGCAGGCAAGGAGGCTGACCTGACAGTAGGCAGGAGGCAAAGCCCCTCGGATCCGGTCTGCAGTAGGCTAGAGGCTAAGCCGCCCCCTCAAATTTGGTCGGCGAGGAGGCACCGGTGGTGCCCCTGCTGTGGTGCTGCCTACCCCATGCCCCTACCCCTCCGATGGTAGCTGCGGCGGGCTCCCACCACCACCAACTTCCCTGGCAGCGCGCGACCCTACACCTTCCTTGACCGCCAGCGGCGTGGCCCAGACCCTTCCTCAACTGGCGGCAGTGCTGCCCCGACCCATGGCGGCGCGACCCCGCTCCTCCCCGATCGGCGGCACATGGCCTTGCCCCTTCCCCAACCCGAGGCGGTGCGTGCCCACTACTTCCCCGACCTGAGGCGGCGCGTCTCCGCTACTTCCCCGACCCACGACGGCGCTGCTCCTCCCTTTCCCCAACCCGTAACGCAGCCCCACACCTTCTCCGACCGATGAAGGCAGCAGTAGCAGCTTCAGCGTGGAGGCAACATGGAGTGGTGACGGCGAGCTTTTCCCGATGGCGCCGACATGCCCGCAGCGGCCTCCCCACTCCATCGGTGGCAGATTCGGTCCGTAGTGGCCTTCCCCACACCATCGGTGGCGGATCCGGTCCGTAGTGGCGGCCTCGACCCTCCTAGCTGCCACGGCGACCAGGTCATCCCCACGCGGATGGCACCTCTCGTCGGTGGCATGGCCAGCCCTGCACGACAGGATGGAGATACTAG